CTGATAGACCCTATAGATCTTGGTAGACCCTACTAGGCCCTGATAGACTCTAGTAGATCCTACTAGACCCTGATGCATCCTGTAGATCCTAGTAGACCCTACTAGATCCTGATAGACTCTATAGATCCTGATAGACCCTACTGGATCTTGATAGACCCTACTGGATCTTGATAGACCCTATAGTTCCTGGTAGATTCTACTAGACCCTATAGATCCTGGTGGACTCTCGTAGATCCTGGCAGACCTTACTAGACTCTATAGATTCGGGTAGACCCTACTAGACCCTGATAGACGCTATAAATCCTGGTAGACCCTACTAGACTCTGTAGACCTTGGTAGATCCTACTAGATGCTGGTAGACCCTGCAGATACTGATTGATCCTAATGATCCTGATACACCCTATCTGACTCTTCAGACTCTGGTAGATTGTACTAGACCCTGGTAGACCTGCCGTTTTATCAATTTCTTTGAATTATTTTGTAATTTATGTTTTTTGAATCACTTTATAATTCATTTACGTCATGGACTCGAAATATTACAATTGATCAACGGAAAATACTGCATTTTATTCAGTTTTTTCCTTCTTTGGAATAAGTAGTCATCCAAAACAATGGCTCGACAAATAATGAAAAAACGAGATGGAAGAAAACACAATTTGTGTTTGCGAAATCAGTAAGAAGTCGGTTTTAAGCGAAAGGTTATATCTCTACCAAAAGGCACCTGTTTCATCTAAAAGTTTGACTATTAAGATATCTCAATAGCAGATTTCGAATGAACATATCGAGATTGAAATTTAAAAATTGATCATATTATGGTTGTGTGATTGAATGCTCGTTTTTCTTAAGAAGTCTCTCATAATAGCAATAACTTCTCACCGCTAGAAGGATCACTTAGAAATTGATAAATCACAATAGCAACAAGGACAGAATCTACAATATATTCATTTATAGGAGTTTCTGGTTAGTCCTTGTCTGAATTCTTTCAACACTTTTCAGTATCTGAGCACCAATTTCAGCACTTTCTAGAGTCTCTGCATCTTTTCGACATCTTTTGCCATCCAAATATTTTTTAATGTCGAAAAGATACTGAGATGGTATGATTTCTCCGTTGAATGACAACATTATCATGTCATTTTGTTCTTTTGAAAAATAACATACCAGTTGTAGTGAGCCTTTTAGTCAAAACGATAGGCACGACAATGGCTGTTGTCACAACACATATACCAACAATGATCGCAAGGATGATTAAGACAATATGTCTAAATGTGAAATATGCTGATCATTTATATAATGAACTGATTACTGATACGAACCTCTTGTTGGTGTTTGTTGGAGTAGGCAACGATTGCGGCAAGTCTTCGGCCATGTTTCACTGCTTCTGTTTTTCCACAAATGACACCCATTCACTTCAATATGCGATATTTGAGCGAGAAAGCAAGAAAAAATATTTCTTAGACAAACATTTTTGTCATATGTTTGCACACATGCATGCCTCAAGATGTGTCCTGATCTCCTGATATTCTTATCAAGAGGCAACAGTTTGAGCAGATGCTTGAGTCGTGCGTAGCTGTTAAGTAATTAATGCGTTGAAATGATTTTGAATAGTCGATGGTAATATAAATGTAATCCATCTTTTGCTGACGCCATGCATCAACATCATGAAACGTGTTTTATGAAGGACATGTCACATTTCTTTCATTAATAAATTCTTTTTTAAGCAAGAAAGCACATCGATTCTAATTCAACACAAGTGTTAACTTTAAATGCATCGTTTTGTATTTTTAATAAAACAGCATGTTGATTAGTTTAGAGAAAACAGACCACTGTGAAAAGGGAGAGATTGATAATCACCAATATTAAATCAATAGTTGCTCACAAGCACTTTTCAATGGAATAGGACAGTGGAGATGGTTGCAAAGTGTTCATTACATCAATATTCATTATGGAAATGCCTTAACACTGAAATAATTGGATAGTTTGGATTTATTTTCATTGTCTTTGATGTTTTTTTTTTGATAGATTATTCTATATCTATTTTGTTAAATCATATGACGTTTAATATTCTTTAAAGAATATAGTTGTTAAACGATTTTATCACATCAATGGAATATTGCCATTATCACATATGCTGAATAATCCTGTTCATATTCAAAGATCGATAATGAAAATGCCATTGATTCGTTAATCTACTCTTTTAAGTTTTAATAATAAATCTAAACTTTTCATTTTATTTCTTTTCTAACCAAAATCGATATGTACAAATCTATTTTTTCATTAAAATTTGTTTTCAAATATTGTTCATTTTTATTAACAAAAATAAAACTAGTTGGATCCATGATACATGTTGAGAGATATTGACGAATAAAATCTGTTGAAATATTTTTATTGTTGTTAATTGTTCTAATGTTAATGTATCTTTTGTTTTATTAAAAAATAATGAATGAAACATTGTTGGTTGTCTTGCAGTGGCGTAGCCAGGATTTTTTAAGTAGTCAGCAATTTACCAGCAAAATTATTGTTAGTAGGTGGCAACAAGCAGCAATTGTAAAATCTAGTGGGCAATGAATTTTTAAAACCTTATTCACATTACAGAATATATTGTTTAACACATTGGACACGATGAGACCCACCGATGGGTCCCACTTTAAAAAAGTTGGATATGTTGACTTTAGTCGATTCATATGAAATAGTTTCTTTTGTCGATCATAGAAAATGTTTCAGTGTTTTTATTCATAAGAGAAAAATCGAGAAATACTGCGTTAAAATATGTTAAGTAATTTCCAGAAGCAAATGTGACCTTGTGCAGTTTTCAGAAAAATATACGCCATGCATATTTTCTATCAGTTAGTACGAAGAAGTAAAGCTTTGCGAAGCTAACTAGTTTCAACAAAGTCGGCTAATTTTTGTTTCGAAATACTCAGCGACATATGAATTTCCATAGGTTTTACACAAAAATTAAATCTCTTACAAGTGGAAGTTGTCAGGTACATATATTATTTATTTCCATACTGCGTGGTTCGTCTTTTTTCTCTTATCGAACCTACTTAACATATTTTAACGCAGCATTTCTCAATTTTTCTCTTATAAATAAAAACACTGAAACATTTTCTATGATCGACAAAAGAAACTATTTCATATGAATAGACTAAAGTCAACATATCCAACTTTTTTAAAGTGGGACCCACCGGTGTGTCCCATCGTGCCCAATGTGTTAATGAAGGAAAATTAGATTAATCATTCTGTATTAACAGATAAATTCACCCGTTTTCTTTTTACAATATTTAAGAAATGTATTCTTCGATTCCATATACTGGATGGTCAAAAAATTACCAGGCAGTCATTCAATGGACGGTGTCCAAGGACTAAGGAATATGAATTCTTCTTGGATTTCTTCACAGTTTCATGAATCATAAAATTGAAAAAATACGGTATTCACAATATTTTGTCTTCAGACAATCATTTTTTCAAGAAATATTTGAAAATGAATTTGTAGGTATGAAATCTGTTACGGATAAATCATTACTTTGATTTTCATTATGGGAGATCTATGAGGGAACTAATGATATTTACTTTCGCTTGCATGACAACAATCGCTATGTATTTGAATCAAACAGTAGATAATTTTTACCAATATATTTCGAATTTTCACTTCATCCATTGAGTGAAAATGATAATATCTCGATTAATCTGTAAATTTTTTTTCTTCCAATTCATAGAAAATTTGAACAAACTATTTCTTAATAAATAATGATGTAATAAAACTGATGATGAATGCAGCATAATAACGTCAAACTTCATATTTCATCAATCAAATGAAAATTAATAAATATAATCTTTAATATTATTGTATGATTCTAAGATGTTTCATTGGATGACATATTGGAAAAAATATTAAGAAAAATTATTTCTTGCAGAATAAATATATTGAGATTATTATTTTGAAGTAGACAATAGAAAGATTTTAAATTAGTTTTAAACTATCGCTTTCTTACTACTGTTATTCGAAAAAAAAAATATATTTCTACAATATACTGAATGAAGATCATGAAGCAAGAAATACGTAATACTATTGTTGTACGTTGATGATCTAAAATCATATATTATATAAATCGACATTATTGAATAAGTTCACGATTTACATATTGATATATGTAAGAAAAATGGTAGTTGAAATTCAATACTAATAACAGACTATAAGAAGGAATTCATTTGTAAATAATCGCTTATCATCTTAAGCCTACAATGTTACGAATAGATTTTTACTCATAATTATGAATTCATCATCATTGTCTAGAGGTGAATTTTTGTAACATTTCATACCTTTGTACTAAGTTGAAAGAAAAATTTCAGTTAAAATGAAGCATTACAATACTGTTATAGAAGGTCTATGCTGCTAGAAATGATGAAATACTTGTCTAGTTTCTGTTCGTATCTGATCTCAATGTAAGATTCCAAATTGCTTCATCAATCAAATATAAGATGTAATAAGTCTCATAACTGATGTAAAATCAAGACCATAAATATTAATAACTTTTCAGTTTTTTTATTAGAAATAACATGCATTATTCAATGTCAGTGTCAGCAATACACAACTTTATTCATCAATATTATAAATAACCTTTGATTTTTTCAGTTTTCACTGTATTTATCAGGCAGTAATGTTTTATGTGAGATTACCATTGGGTTGTTTTCTTTTACATCTGGCTCTTGCTAACTTGCAAATCAATCTGCATTACACAGATTGGGTAAGTGACAATAATCATGTATTGCAACATGATTGTTTGCGTGTACATGCTTCACTTGATAAATGGCATATTAGGCGTGAATTGATAACTTATTGTATGGATGATCTACCATTGAAATTTCATATGGAAAATAATTATATTTTTCCCAAGTTTACTTTTGCGGAACTTGCGAAAGAGAATATTACTAGTTATGAATTATATCTTTGGTCAGCACCGATTGACGTGGCAGAGCGTTATCAATTCTACCTAAATCAAATGTCAATATCAAACAATCAATCTTTGGAAAGAGAAATTTTCTATAATTGTACATTGCCAAGATTTGGTTCGTTATGTCAATATGAAATTAACTATGTTCATAAAAACTATTCATCTCTATATGATATGATCAATGATTACTATAAAGAGCGATACTTCAATCCTGAAGTAAACTGTTATACTCATTTACAATGTAATCGTGGTCCATCACCAGCTTGTTTGGATTGGACAGAGATTTGTGATGGTCAAGTAGATTGCATCGATGATAAAGTGGATGAAAAAGATTGTTGGAAAATTGAAATTCATGTATGTCAAGATGATGAATTCCAATGTTCGAATGGACAATGTATACCTATGGCTTTTTATCATGATGATGAGATTAATGAAGACTGTGCTGACATGACAGATGAACATTCGCCACAACTAAGAAAATCGTTGCGCTTCATTTATAAACAGCCGTCATTTATAATTGAAGAGAATCAATTTCGTTCACTACCCATCGGAAATCTTAATTTCGGTATGCGTCGAAGCCATTTATTTCAAGCTTTATTTTTGGCTAAAGATAACTCTACATCCGAAGATTGTTGGTCAGCCCTTAGATCTACAATTCAACAATCAATATATGAAAAGCCACTTTTTAATAAGACATGCGTGGAACAAGAGTGTTTTGAAATCATTGAGAAAGAATGTCCAGATGTTTTTTATTTCCCTACGGTTCCAGTCTTTTTTCATAACATTCGACTGGCATTCAACAAGACCGATCTGTCAATTCACAAGCTTTCATACTATACAGCAGCTTTCATATGTTACAATAGTTCTGATTATGAGTACTATGTTCCTCCTGGTGAAAATTTTTTATTCAATAATGCAACCTGTTTCGATCCTGGCCGCATAGCGACTTTTGATACGATGAAATACACACTGGAAGAAGAATATCTGTCTCCTTTGTATGAATTCATAGATGAAATGAAACCATACTTTTTAATTTATAACTATACTTCCGACATGTGTAATAGATCTAACAGATATCATTGTATCAACTCTTCAAAATGTATCTCAATGAATCGTCTGATGGATAGTAGAGTGGACTGTCCAAAAGTTGATGACGAAAATCTAACGCATATTATGGATGCTGGCTGGACAGATGTTTTAAAAAAACTTTATAAATGCAAGACGGTTAACAAATATATTCATCAATCGCTTGTTAAAAATACACTCTGTGACTGTAGAGACACGGATTACGGTTTCTGTGAAGACGAAGATGAAAATATTGCTTTAGCTAGAACGAAGCTTTTATTTCAACACGTTTGTGATGGATTAACTCATCTGATTCCAATAAATAATGACAAACAAAATGAAACAGAATGTGAACAATGGCCGTGTAATAACATTTATACTCATTGTGATGGCATTTGGGATTGTCCGAAGGGTGAGGATGAAACCGGTCGTTATTCGTTTACAACATTGAATTGTTCATCAAATCAACATTTATGTGTGTTACCTGATACAAATCAATTTACATGTATACCACTTGAAAAAATAAATGATAACAACATCGATTGTCTTGGTGCTACTGATGAACCAACACTGTGCCAAAAATACGACTATGCATACAATTACAGAAGTTTCTTATGTAAAAACTCAAGTTCGCAAAGATGCATAAATCTTGCTCATTTATGCAACGGTAAATTCGACTGTGAATATGGTGATGATGAACAATTTTGTATGAAACGTTACAAGTATGGACTGTCCTCCTCATATTACAACGTTTCTCATTCTGAAGTTGAGCAATTTTTCTATAAAGAATTAGTAACCAAAAGTCGATCATTTATTAAACACTTTTCATTAGATGGATTGACGGAACTCAATACGGATAATCAAACAACTAGTATTAGACCATCAGGAATTATTCGATTTCCACAGGAATATGAACTTATGATGAACAGAAAGAATCCATGTTCTCGAGGTATTCAATTACGCGTTTGGTTCAGTGAGCAAAATAATTCAACAACAAATATATGTCTTTGTCCGCCTAGTTATTATGGTGATCATTGTCAAAATCAAAATCAACGTGTCAGTTTAACTATGGCATTTCGAGTAATGTCTGATTCTCGATCAACATTATTTGCAATTATAATGTCATTGATTGATGATAGTGAACAAAGAATTATTCATTCATACGAACAATTGAGTTATTTATCGGTTAGAGATTGTAAAGCTAAATTTAATGTGTATTTAGTTTATTCAAATCGACCAAAATCTCAAACAAGAAATTATTCAAT